GCTATATATATATATATATATATATATATATATATATATATATGACATGACACACTTCCATTCAAACGTTTTGGGCCAGTGTTCTTTAATGTTAAAAAAAGTCCTAAGCTATGGTCAATTTGATTAAAAATACAGTTAAATGGTTATATTGTGAAATATTGTTACAATTTTAAATTGTAACAAAAAACTATTTTTGTAAAACTGTTTTCTTTCGTAATAAGTTTTAAAATGTATAGTTTATTTCTGTAATAGCAAAGCTACATTTTTTGCATCATTACTCCAGTATTGAGTGTCACATGATTCTTCAGAAATCATTCTAATATGCTGATTTCCTACTCAAGAACCATTTCTTCTTATTATAAAAGATGATAACATTTGTGCTGTTTAATATTTTTGTGGAAACCATGCTACCTTTTTTTTTTCTTTTTTTTTTTCTGGAGACTTTGCTGAATATAATTTTTAAAAGAACAGGGTTTATTTGAAATAGAACTCTTTTGTAACATTATGAATGCTTTTACTGTCAATTTAATAAAGTATTAATTTCTTTAAAGTCTTACTGACCCCAACATTTTGAATGGTAGTGTACATAACACTTGCTAATTTAACAGAGGTTATTATCGTAGGTCTAGTACTGGGAAACACGTGACATTTTTATCATGCCTTCACATTTGCAACCCATCACAGGATTCTTTGTTCCTGGATTTCCCAAACTTCAGCGTTTCCAAAACCACCACGACCAGATTCTCTCCAAACTTGTTTAATATTTTTGTGGAAACCATGCTACCTTTTTTTTTTTCTTTTTTTTTTTTCTGGAGACTTTGCTGAATATAATTTTTAAAAGAACAGGGTTTATTTGAAATAGAACTCTTTTGTAACATTATGAATGCTTTTACTGTCAATTTAATAAAGTATTAATTTCTTTAAAGTCTTACTGACCCCAACATTTTGAATGGTAGTGTACATAACACTTGCTAATTTAACAGAGGTTATTATCGTAGGTCTAGTACTGGGAAACACGTGACATTTTTATCATGCCTTCACATTTGCAACCCATCACAGGATTCTTTGTTCCTGGATTTCCCAAACTTCAGCGTTTCCAAAACCACCACGACCAGATTCTCTCCAAACTTTTACCCAAACTAAAGAAGCATTTGGTAAGATTGTTGTGGCGCACACAAGAGTACAAAATGAGCCCAGAACCTATAAGATTATTTAAGTTACAGTAAATATAGCTATTAACTTCATTCACTTAACATGATACTGTATCTAATGCTGGGTTTCTTCCCTTCTCTTTTTTTTTTTTTTTTTTTTTTTTTTTTTTTTTTTTT